CTTTAATGGACATTGAATCTTTAAAGTGTGCTTTAACTGAGAAAACAGTTTGCCCCGATACCGATAAGGGAGATTATGAAAATGCAAGCCATGATTTGGGGTCAAGCGCAAATAACGAAGAATCTGCTACAAATAATGGGCAGCGCAAAAATTTGAAAACTGATGACAGTGACAGTCAATTTAATGATATGTCAATAAATAGGTACATATCAAGCACATTCCAATGCTCAGATGTATTTACGAATTTTCCGCGTAATAAAACTTTTCCCAATAGGTACAACTCCTAATCCTACGTCTCTATTATATCTGTCAATTTTGCAAAATAACACATCGTCAAATATGGGACGAACAGTGAGTACAAATGTGCTGCCAAGTAATAACGTATTTGCAAGTACGAGTGTATGTCCGAGTACCAGTGCATTTCCCAGTGTGAGTATTCCTCCAGCAAATTAGTTTGCTCAACATCTGAATCCTGCATTATATTCAAACACGACTGTACCCATCCTAGCCTATATGAGTATTCCCAATGTACCACCGATAATAGACCTAATTACATCGCAGCGTATGCTGAATGCTAACAAACCTTATTCAGATATGCCGATGTATGCATCTGTATCCGCCACCACCTCATTTGGTACTCATGCACCGACATTTGCTATAAGCTTCATTGGAAGGATCTTCAAGACCTTATGATTGTTCAAAGAAATAACCAGTCGAAAAATGGATTAGAGATTTCGAAAATTTGGATAATCTGCTAGGATGGAATGAGTTTCAAACTTATATATTTGCCAAAAAATCGTTAGTCGGACTAACTTGAACATTTATTGAGGAAGAAAATAGCATCAATTCTTGTTTCACACTGCACCAAGCCCTACTAGCGTCAAAAGTAAACAGTGCCGACGTGCATAAACAGCTACAGAAAGACGCATGTAGATACTGGAACGAAAATGTCAAGGAATACTTTATTGAAATGAAAGAACTTGCGGGAAGAGCTGACGTAGAGGATGAAGCATTGTTTAGTTACGTAATAGATGGAATTTACGATAGTGCAGCAAATAAAGCCGTGTTATATGGTGCCAGAAATGTGGCCGAGTTTAAACAAGAATTAAAAATATATGAGGAAATACGATCCAAATCCCGCTTCTCTAAGGAAAATAGACGTAATCCCTGAGTAGACGAACTGCAAAAAAACAGATACGATAAAGATAATCGGGAACAAGAGCGAAGTCAAAGATGGAATAATCAAAATGATAGCAAGGTAAGATGTTTTAATTGCGGATTTCAAGATGATATACCGCTAAATTCTTACCATATAGATCATCTAGGTCCACTGGAGTCGACCAATAAAAACTACAAATACATCTTAACTATTATAGATAGTTTTACAAAATTTGTATGGCTATATCACAGCTTATATCCCACAAAATCAACTACTTCGAGTGAAGTAATTAAGAAATTAGAATGTTAAAGCAACGTTTTTGGAAACCTCAAAAATCTCGTTTCAGATTGAGGTACAGCGTTCACCTCTGAAGAATTTCAAAAAACTATTAAGCAAACAAGGTTAAACATCATACAGTGACTAGTGGAAAACCTAATAGTAATGGACAAATTGAGGGAATAAATACTATAATTGCAAACGTGTTAACTAAACTTTCCAAGGACGATCCAACAAAATAGTACAAACATGTAGAATCGGTTCAGAAAATGATAAACTTTAGCTATCAGAGAGCCTTATGTTTGGAGTAAAAATTAAAAAACCATGGATCTTAGCATTAAGGAAATGATAGAAAAAGAAACCATACAAATATTTGAAGAATCTAGAGACGAATTAACGAAGACAGCAAAAGATCAAATAAAGAAGATACAGGAAGATCAAAGCTTACTATGACAAAAAGAGGAAAGAGCCAAAAGATTATGAACTTGGAGACTTAGTAGCCATTAAACGAACTCAACAAGGGCCAGGGCTCAAGCTGAAGCTAAAGTTTCTAGGTCCCTATGAGATAATCAAAGTAAAGGAAAACAACACTTACGATGTTATGAAGATTGGTTGTCATGAAGAGCCTATAAAAACATCTAGGTACATGTTCTGAGTTTTTAAAACCATGATGGCCATGATCCAGACATGGAAGAAGACGAGATAACATTGGAGGCCGATGTTACTCTGGACGGCCGAGTTGTGGGAAATATACCTGCAACCGGTGAAGTTGGCACCTTTGGTAAAGGTGTACATGACCAGTATCATGATTGTCATGAGAAGAAGGTAGATTAGCAACTAAAAAACAGTTGGTTCAAGAAGAACATAAAGATGGGGGTACACAACGCGTGTAAACGACGGCCCTAAAATCACGACTATACAAAGAAGTTTAATGACGACGTTTATTTAATTCATTTTTGTTATAAAGTAGGGAGTTAGTGTTTAAGTTAAAAGCTGTAGTTCCAAATAATAGAAATTATAGAAAGATATCCGTGTTTGTTCGTGTTTTTTCATACAAAAATCCCACAATACTTCAGAAATTCAAAAACTTTTGATTCATAGGGTATTTAAGGCAATAGTGACCCATTCCAAATACTCGTGCATGACTTTTGAACCTGGTATCCTAGACTCTACGCGCTTGCGGTTTACGCCATTGGATTCATCTTGGCATAAAGTTTTATATGGGCGCTCGAAATTATTTCGACAGGTGAAAAAAAAGTTGACGGTTTTAAATCCCAAAATTCCCAAAAGTTTATATTGGAACACTTTGTAATTGTCTATCACAACGTCAAAAAAAATAGTCATGCTCATCCGTGCTACATCAACGAGATATTAACGTTCGGGAAAATATTAATCCACATGGATACGTTGGAAATTTTTTTTGTCACATCTTTTTCGATGTGTGTTTTCTGGCAGAGGCGATCTCAATCACTAAATGTTCCTCTGATTAAACCGAATTTGTGTTTCTGAATATTGTTTGACTCACTGTATTGTTTGTTTTTAAAGAATTATTATTGATTTTAGCAATAATTCAATTCTCAAAAATCCAAAAAGTTATGTTAAAAGCTTAGTAGCTTGTTTTGGAGGGTCCGTTAAGTTAACCTTAAAACGCCCCGTGTACATAAAATTCTTGCGTAAATACCGGTGTATCTATTCTATCCGGTTAAAAATAAACATCATAAATCTAAGATTAAGGCCTCGAAAAGAAGCTCCTGGGTAAAAATACTCACACAGCGCACTAAAGCCTGATCATAGGATTAGTGAGATTTGAAAGGCTTAAAAGGTTTTCGAAAACCTAATTGCCATATAAATCTTTTCCGAACAATAGTTTCGGTTCTGCCCGTCATTGAAACAAATTTATTTTAGAAGCTTCTTTTGGTACCTTACCTATCTACCTGAGATTATGGTACTTTTTTTAGAAAAATATTTCTGGTCTAATTCCAATATACGCGCACGTGATTCGTCAAATATTCTAATTTGAGACACGTTTTCACAAGAACGATAAATCCGACCTGACGTGAGTGACATTAATTTGGCGTCCTCGAAATTTTTTAAAAAGGGACAGCCCCAAAAACAGATTATGACATTTGCCTCTGGAAAGATACATTTACAAAGCCGTTCTCTGAACACATGCTACACTAGAGTTATATGGTTCTAAATTTATCTTCGTCTGTCAATTTTATGAATAGGTCTTTTGTGAGACGGTGTACCAGGGAGTCATGGCAATTTTTGTTGCCGAGTGTCTTTTCTTAATTTTCTATGAAATGGTAGGTAATTGTTAGAGAAAGTGTTTTAGAGAAGCTATAAAGATTTGAAATTCATTGAAACATTTTGTGGACTCCATTAGCAGGGTAAAGCCAAAGTTTACCTAAAGCGTTCAGCTTTTTTTTTTTAAATACCTTGATCTCCAAAAATAGAGGTTCACTTTTATGGCCAGGACTTATGACGGTCCACAATGATATATGATGGTGCCTGCATGGGTTTTTTCCATCAGAGCCCGTTGACTGACAAAATCTGATTTGTGGCCGATAAATGTCTATGACATGCAGATTGGGTAAGACGCAATCTTCAATGCCAACATTCAATTGCAATAATTATGGCTTGTTTATTACGGACAGTCGGTCTTATTTGTTTCACAATTCAACTTAGATATCAATTCGTTATCAAAAACCTGATTTTGAAGTAAGAAATATTTTAAATAAATTGATCAAATTGTTTTGTACCTGGTAAATCGAAGCCAACACGGCCATCATACGCATATTCTTTTCTAAAAAAGGTTCAATTTTCATGTTTCCGGCGGCCATATGTTGTTTTCGTTTTCAGGCTGCTGTAAATATTTCTTCCAATTGTAATTATAAATAGAGGAGGATGGGGTATGAGGTTCATCCAATTGATGTAATAGTTTTTCAGTGACAGTGATTTATGAGATTTGGGACAAGTTACGACCATATTTCTACGATGATTGATGACACTGGTGGTTATTCGAGATAAATAAATCATATTTCTATTTCTTTCAGGAAAGGACATTGGGAAATATGAAGAAAAATAGCTTTGCTTATTTTGGATGCTGGAGATATTGGGTTAGTTGGCGGCTCGTTGCCAAACCCAAAATGACCTAGGCTATTATCTCAGCATTAGACAGTATTCACAAGTTTTTTTTTCCAAAATATGATCTTCCAAAGTTTGAATTTGGTTTCGATTAAAAAACTCTTCTCCTAAAGTGGGTATATGTTTTTAGTAAAAATTCAAGTCAATTCGCTTGATAATAAAAATTGAAAATGATCTTAAGAATTAATTTCTACATTTAAATTTGTATCTCAACATCTCGGGACCTACTTTAATAAGTACCTGCAGGACAAAAAATTTAAATTTTTAGGTTGGATCATGAATTAATGCTTCTTCCTTTCTACAAAAATGTAGGTAGGCTTTTCACCAGAAAATCATCTCCATTATGCAGAGAACTGTAGGTACCCGAGACTGCACCGCACAAAGTATCTATCTCTTATAACTGATAGAATAAACTTACTTAAATTTTGAGCGCTAAAAATCTTCTTGCATTATCCGTACCAAATAATCCACAAAATGCACTTTCATCAAACAAAACACTAATAAAACTTCAAGGCAAGAGTTATGGTACAATTTACAAGACGCGATTTTAGGTCCTTCGAGCGGGGTCTGAAAGTACCGCGCGTCTATAAACGAGCGTACCGATCAGCTGAGAAACCGTAGCAAACATACAAACAAGCGAACTAAACGTGTCCTTCTCTCGTTCAACGGCCAAGACCATCTCAAGATTAAGTTGTGTTGGAAAGAGGCTGACAGCCGCCCCTGCAGTACCTGGCCGGAGAGTTTTCTCCTTCTCTCTCCTTTTGTATAAATAAAGCCTTTTTGATCGTTCCTTTTTCGGGGGGCTCTTTCAATGGCCGCAGCTGCGCTCAATTGGACCCTGAGGCCCGTTCTTTTATGATATTGTTGTTGTGTTCTTAGATTTAGACATGGACGTGGCTTGGGGGATTCTGATGGATTCTAGATTTGTTTCGCTGCCCAATTATAGATTATTCACAGTAAATGCTTAAAGTTTTAGGTGCCTCAATTAAGAAAATTCATACAGAACTGAAGAAATTTAACAAGCAGTACGATTTTATGAGATTCTGGCTGACATCATTTCTCATCTGGCTTATTTGTCCAAGAAATAAAATTTTATTGTTTTATTTTTCATTGAAATTTTCATCCAAGGGTACCTCAATCGCTTTTTGGAATTTTTTTAAAGTTAGTGTTAAAATATCGGCCTCTATTTTTAATTTTTATAGTGGAACATGGTCAAAGAATTAATAGGGCGCTTGGAAGACAAAATGCAGTTTCGATTTTCTATTTCTCTCATATTATATTGGAATGATTGAATGATGTAGTGCATCTCAATAGTTAAAGATGAGGTTGATGGATTGTTCGTGTGAGTGCCCAGTTAGCATGATTAAGGGCCGGCGGTCCATTGTTTATTCACCTTCTGACAAACTGTAAGATAATCAATCTGGAGGATCAAAACGTAATCTGTAATCCCATAGGTCGCGGCAAGTTATCCGCCGACCAATAGAATTATTGCAAGGTAAATTTATCTTGCAGATAGTTACCAGCAAGTTTATCTGAAGATGAATAAACCGGGCCTTAGTTGTTATTCTTTTACCTATTCCTTATTTTGCTAACGTGGAACCACACGAAAAACGATACGAATGGTTTGAAATTTTATTATTTCTCGTACCCAAACTTATCCCACATAACAATGAAAGAACATTCATATTCTCAGAATATTCCCTCAAAGTACGTTTTGGAATGTTCTTTTAGGAATGTTTAATGAATATTCTTAGATTGTTTCGATTGAAATATTTATTTTTGGACGTTCTATTTATGAACTAGGAATGTTGCTTCTATGCACCTACCTGAAAGATTGTGCTGAGAACCTACTTTATATAACATTATCTGAATATTGTCACACGAACATTATTATAATGTACCCTAAAAAATGTTCTTTCGGCTAATATCTCTATCAAGTATTAAGAATATACCTACCAAGTTGTGCTGAGAAGTTTATGTAGGTAGATACCCATGATAAGAATATTTCCATATTGTTCACCTAATTATCTAGAATACCTACTCAAAAATCTTGATTGAACAATTAAACAATAATGCTCTATCTAGAACCTACTAAAAATATTATAGGTATATTCTTTTTCTTTTGCTTTGTAGGACTTCCAAGAGAGGGAGCCACTCGCGCTATTAATGATCTACATCTTGCCTCGCGTTTGAATCACCTTGGAACCTGTTTCTCTCAGTTGGCGTGCTTACCGCGATGAGAGCATAAAAAGCTCGAAACCGGAGCTTTGGTTAAACACTTGTGTTTTCCAGAGAAATTTTTCAACAACTCTTTCACTGCCTATAATATAGAAGGACTGAATGTAACATTATTTGGTTGGATGCGAAAATTAACATTCCAAGTATGTCCCTAGAATCAAACAAGAATGTTATGTCTAGGATGCATATTGAGAATGATATAATATGTAGATAAATTCTAAGAATATTTCAAGCATATTGGTATAATATTCTTTTGAGAACATAACTATAATGTCATAGGAACATTTTTTGAATGTGAGAATATGCATTTCAAGCATATTTTTAGAATCAAATAGGAATATTCTTTTCAGAATGTACTGATAATCTCATAGGTATATTCTAGGAATATCCTAATGGATTTCCCAGGAAGTTCTTGGGTATTGCAAACAGTATTTCTACAATCTTTTCTCAGAACATTCTCAGGATATTCGCAATGGTTTTGGCGAACATTCTAGGCACATTCCTAAAAAAAAAGAACATTCTCAGTACATTCTAAGGATGAAATTTTGTTATGTGGGATATCACAAATTCCGCACCCTCTGGTCGCAACTTCCCATTTTATACAGCCTACAGCCAAATAGTATATAGTTACGAAATTGCATTGGTGCGGAGAGAAAAATGCCGCTGTTTACGGACGCAAGTTATCAGGAACTCCATAGCTGGTCCATCAGTTTTTTTTTTTGAGTAAGGAATGTTTTTTGATATAAAGCGCGCAGTTTTTAAGTCATGGAGTCAGTTCAAATGAGAGAAATGTGTAATTTTGAATAAAAACGATACCTAGGTCATAAATTAATTTTATAAAATCAATAACTTCGATGAAAGTTTTATTATTGATGGAGACGACTTAAGTGGATCCGCGGAATCTCTGTCAATTATGTGCAGAGGTAGGATAATAAGCGAGACAATTGGTCTATTAATACAAGAAAAAAAAAAGAACGAACAGGAGAACCTAAAGACACAATGAATGCACTTTTGGAATACGAAAGGTTGTTACCTGAATCAAACAAGAGAACTTGAAAGGGGGCACTTCTTCCGCTGCAGAAAAAAAAAAAACATTGCAACACCACAATTTTCAAATCAAACATCGTTCTAGTTAACCACATAAAACCTTATCCAGAGTTAATGTTAGAAGTCATAAAAAACGAAGTTCCAAACAGTTTTAGAAATAATCATTCTTTTTTGTACGCTCACGACCGGACAAAAAGTGACTTCACAGAAATTTAACCTTGATTTCATCGTTTGAGTACCGTTTGCGGACAAAATCGCATGTTTTATTAGGAGAAAAGCACTTTTTGTGGCTCGTCTTAAATTGTCGGCCTCACTACGTTCGGCAGTCAAACATTTAGTCTCGCCACAAAAAGTATCATTTTTAATCCTAATGAAACAATATACTGTCACGGCTCTGGGGTGCGTGACAGAAATCTTGGATCCATTTATTCCAAAATAAAAGTCTAATTAACAGAACAATTATTTATTCAACGTTAGTATACACTCTGACACTAATTACTTCAGCATTTAACTCTTAGCAATAATCACTATCTAAATCATTTCACAGTCAATCTTAAAACTAAACTTCTAACTAATACGGTCCTTTATATATCTGTAATCCATTCTTGTAAAATCCAGAATAAACGCGATTATCTCTTTGCCCGAATAAGGTAGTATTTTCTAGATTTCAAGTTAGATTCTGTACACCATGGTGAAAGCGCACCGCGACAATACTATTTTGGAACTTAAAAAAAAAAGCAATAGATCGCCAACAAACCGGAGAAAAAAAAAAATCTGCGAGCGAGCAAAGAAAAACCGGGAACAAGGAGATTGGTGGGATATGACTACTGATCCAGAAAGTCAATGAGGTTAAACTTGAATGGACAATATGGCATCATGAGTGCAATGACTGCATTCATTTGCCAAGCATAGAGATGTTAAGCAAGTGGATAAATAGAATGATGATGATTGCGAGTAGGTATTATGGAGGACATAGATCTAGAGAACACTATTTCTTATTTCCAAAGACATGCTTCTAAGGACACCCAAATCCATAATACTGCTGGTAGTAGGGAGATTAAGAATAAATAGATGGAATTATTATGGATCTGGTGGAGACGTAGAAGAGAAGGTGGTGGGATTTTGACAGGTTGATAACTTATCACGAGAATAAATGACCAGATCGTGACGAATGATGTGTAACCTCTATGCGAGTAACGTTTCAAAATTGCTTTTAACTATTTCACACTTATTTTTCCAGTTTTCCATTCAAAATTCCTATAGATATTTAATTTTTCTCTGATTTTATTAGGCTTTGTTTGCTTTTTTCCTTCATAAAAATTCAACAATAATTCCAGTAAAGCGTGTTTTTTTTTAAAGATAAAAGTCAAAATGACATTATGTTGGCTATACAATGTAAAATTGTCAATGTTCTCAAATTTTTTATGTAGAAAAGACTTGTGTTGCCAACATAGTTAGGTACTAAATTTTTGACTTGGGGAATTATCTTTAATAAAAAAACAGACTTTACTTGCAGATCCTGGAAATTTTCTCGTTTTTCAATTAAATTTTCGGGAATAATACCACGAGAGCTTAAAAATTACCGATAATTTTTCACGATTGCGTGTTTTCTATAATTTCACTCGTCTGTAGGACGAGTGAAATTTGCCAAGAAAATACGCATGAGTGAAAAATTTTCTGGTCTATGCCCGAACGACGCGAAGCGAAGTTCGGGCAAGCAGTTAAGTACCTACGGGAAAGATACTTTCCGCGAGAGTTAGGCTCAAGATTGTTTCTACAAGCGCACACTTTATATATTTTTTCAATTTAATTTTAAATAACAATCATAAAAAAAATTATTTATTATTAATATGGATACTAAAAGTGAATTTCGTTTCATTAACTTTGATAACATTTCAATCAGATAACCAGAGCAACCCTATAACCACGCGACTGAAGCAGGTGAGTTTTTCATTGCTTTCAGTAAATTCTATACAGGTATTTCAGGTACGCAGTACAGGAAAAATTTTTACCCGAACGCCGTGTGGGAAAAAGATAGTTTCCGAATTAAAACGCACGCTTGTAGAAAAAGTATGTTATTATCAAAATAAACTGTAATTAGCTCGAAAATATTCAGAATAAACTCAAGATAAACAAAAAAACGTCAAATTTCCCACAGCCGCCATATCGAAAAATCACATGGTTTGGAGAGCCTATAATAAGTAATGTTTTTGGGATCATCGATTCCTTTGTAAGCGTTTACGTTTTGCAACACGAATTGCTTATTCAATGTCGTATTCTTCAAATTAGGATTGTTCTAGTAGTTATAATTACTTGTTGTTATCATTAGTCGTCAGCTGTTGTCATTTTTCTCTGATTATATTGT